ACTCTTTCAAAATAAACCAGTCCCAAACAGATTTAGGAGAGACTGCAGCAAAGCAAGTGGGACGTTGGGTGGTATATGAATGCAAAGCACTGTTGGTTGGATGGAAAAGACCTCTCTTGTGGGGCAAAAACAGCCATCTGGAAGCAGGCACAAAAGCCTCAAAGAGATCCAGACAAAACTTTAGAGATGACGTAGCAAAAGAGTAATCAGGCAAACAGGGAGAATGAAGCCAGGAAGCTGAGATAAGCCAGAAGTCAGGTAGCTGAAGGAAGTGTGGCAGACTACGAAGATACCTGAAAGAAAGATAGGTGGAGGTAGTGGGAAGCTGAAGAAAAGAAAGGAAAAGGGAGGCCCGGACAAAAAAATATAATGCAAGGCAGGGCAAGCATATTATCTTCAAAGAATAAAAGAGGAAGATGCAAGAAAGGCCAAGGAAATAAAGGGAACACAAGAGTAAATTATACACATCACTTTGAACTTCCCAGTAAAATCTTTGGCCGCCAGCTTCTGTAGAATACTATTTTAATTAAATTAACTGAATATTTACTTCTACAACCTTTTCTATAAGAAAGTTCAAGCGGTTTCTCACAAACTATAATGCACTGGTCCAGATAACTGCTGTAATAAGATGTTACCAGATAAAAGAGCCTGTGCAGTAAGCAATTTAAAGGTAATAAGGGATGTCAAGTTTTTACTCAAGAAAGACGGCTATGCTGAGCTGCTTATATTCAGAGAGCAAATCCAAGACCAAAAGCACAACTTGCATAGCAACAAGCCTGTTCAACCAAAGAGATATGACTTCTTTTGAACTATGCTGAATTTATAACCTAATTACCTAGACAGCAGGCAAATTAACCATGCAGCGAGGGAGTAGAGAGGAGGAACAATCTCAGTGGACAGGAAAATGCAGTAAGAAAAATGAACAGGCTTTGGGGATAGAGATGTTTTATCAAAAAAGATTTTTTTTGAAAACAAGAGTACTGAGTCAGGAAGAAAACAGAGAGCCTAGGACTTGTGTGGCATTTAAATGGCAAATATAAATTTGAATCTGTGAAATGTATAAGGGTTCCATCATTGCAGCAGAACATATGAGCAATTCCTGTTCATTTTGCTGAGCTAGTCACCATCTGAAGGTTAAAACGGAAGATTTTTCATCTCTAAGTTGCAAGTTTAAGGCTGCCTGAATGATTAGTGATGACCAAGCGTCTTTTATACTTCTATTGGTCAAATTTCAGGGGGTGGAAGTAAGGGAATAGTCCCTTATTAAGGCATGGGAAGCAGTATTTGCAGGACTTAATAAAGAAGAAATGGGTCAAGGTTTTCTATAAACATTGGTTACAGTGCTACTGGGATTGCTGAAAAGGACGGGTGTACCTAGGTTATGGGCTGCTGTGGCCTCTGTTATCTTGGGCTGACACAAGAGAGGGGCTGCTTAGGAACTGAAGGCATAGGAGGTGTGAGAGGTTGTGACCTTCACACAATTGAATTTAATGTAAGGTGGCGGCATGAAAGTATTAATAACTGTAAATGCAGAACTATGGACAGGTAGTTGTAAATGTGTAAGTGTAGTTCTTTCACGCTGTTCCCCCAAATAATTATAGAACGCATTTTACATCAGTTCTCTCTTAAGAAACCTTGTTTAGAGCCTGTAATTATTTTAAAGAGAAAACTTACCTGGTCCAATAGTTCAAGCCGGCAGACATAGGCTTTCTCTGTGTGCAAAAGCTCATTGGCAATTTTGTAACATTTTTGTTCATCTGTCTCCTAGAAACACATAAAATGTTATATTCAGAATAATTTATATGCAGCATTTATGAACAGCTCTCATCTTCCTTCCTAAGGAAAAAAATTACTGGAAAAAGCAAGAACAGAGTACCCTCTTCTCCCCTTTGAGAGGTCGTTTTAAAAGGGCAAAATGAAGATGTACAAATCTTAAGGTCTGCCTCTGTTAATATGGTGGGCAAACTGCAACCTTCATTCTGGATCAAGCAATGTAGAGAGCAGGGGTGGGAAGAAAATGTGCTGCAAAAAATCCTTGATGCACACGTGACTTAGGAATTCATGGGAATTTTTAAACGACTGCTAAAGCCCCCCAAAGTAAAAAAGAATGCAAGCTGTATTGCTGCCCAACATTGTGAAGCACTTTGTTGTTATATCCACACTGACAAACTTGGTTTTCTGTGTACTTCCCTTCAACCCAGAATTGTAAACCAACCAGTTTCAAATGTCGGTTTACAATTTTACTGTTGGAAAGGAAATTCTCACCTTAATTTCCCTGTTAGGATGCAAGCAAACCTATAATTTGTGCCAAATTGGAAGTTATTAATTGATTCTTAGTGCACAAGGGGAAGAAGCATGTGGGGCACAGGGATTCATTCACATAGTGCCAAATGATAGCTTGGTGTTACAGATGAACCAACCCACAGCTTAAAAAAATTGGTGTTGGCACCAACATACCACACACCTAACTGGGTTATTATGCCGTACGTACCTTTCATGGGTTTTCCTTCTCTATAGGAGTTATTTTTAATGTTTTTAATGCAAGAGGAAATGTAAGAAAAATGTTTTTTGTATCAACAACCTAATCAAAATGAACTATTGCAAAGGAACTGAAAAAAGAATGTTAATCTTTGATGTTGAACCCAATAAGAGAGAAATGTTTCGACATTTTAAAACAAACTGTTTCTGCCAGGGCAAATCCCATATTTCTGTAGGCTCAGAGGGCTGAGTGATAAGTAGTTTCTTTTTGTTCTATGACAGCCCTTTGGAACGAGTCCCATGGAGGAAATCTATGCAGAAAATGCTACTATGGGGTGGAAAAACTATTTGTTCAGGAAGAAATGCAAGGAATTCCTGAATCTCTCTTTAAAAATTCATAAGAATTTTATACTGTAGCATTACTACCACAACTATTCAGGAATGATACCAGAGTACCACACAGGAAAAAAGACTTTACATTAAAATTGTCTCCAAATACAAGTTCTCTTTCTCTTGATATATCCTTTCCTCGATTTAAGTCTCAATGGTCTTGCCTAGTTCCATCTTGTGCCTCAGTGTCCTAGAATTTTCACCGAAGACACAGGCATTTAGAAAGGCTAAACACAGAATGGTAAGTTTACTGCTTTGGATTACATCACATATTTTCAGCCAAGTCACATTCTTGTTCTCTCCTGAGTATCCACCCCCCTCCATTATAAAACCTGGGACTGATTAGCCTGAAATGACTCAGGATCTCCAGAACACTTGCAAATATTAGGGAATGGATCCATCTTGAACACTGCACCCCCATGAGACAAGCAGCCATTATTATTATTATTATTATTCGAATAAATAAATTTTAAAAATGTATACCCCGCCTTTCTGCCCTTTACAAGAGCTGCCAAGACAGCTAACAAATTAAAACATACAAGATTATTTATTTCTAGTCAACTCTGGAATGATAGCATGGTTATCACAGTGTGGAAAGACTTAGTATTTCTTTGCGGAATGTACCACTATACCTAATTCTAGGTCCCGTTGAGTACCATTTACTAGTACAGGTCTGTCATACAAGGTAGTTTATCCCATAGTGGGGATATAAAGTCCTTGTGGATATGGACAAATAACCTGGATGGGACCAGCCTCTTACCAGCATCTTCCCTCCATTAGGAAACTGATCTTGGAGGAAAGGCCAAGGCAGGAAACAGCAAAGGGGGGGGGGACAACCTGAGAAGCAAGTGAGGAACCTAGAAGGTTGAGCAGCTAAACAAAAGAATATGATACATCTATTTATTACAAAGTGCATAGTAAGTACAGATAAAAACCACAAGGTAGTGGGTATCACAATATATCCACATAGCATACAGCAACACATGTCAATTGCACGTACAGTAACTAAGGCCAAAACGATGGTTACACAAAATAACCACTAGTCCAAATGCATTTCAGCCCAGAGGGCCTTCTTCAGTGGTTTAAATAATGACAACGCACACTAGAAATATAAGTGTAAAATATCTGTTCCAGACCAGGAAAGTAGTGTGTGAATCTACTCAATGGTATAGCTCCAAATAATAATCTAGATTTACTGTGCACTTTGCAACAAATAGATGTATCTTATTCTTTTGTTTAGCTGCTCAGCCTTCTAGGTTCCAGAAAGGCCGAGGCAGTCAGCCCTGCCCACATGATTTCAGGCTATTAAAAATTACAGCTACACCCTGGGATGAATCTGTGCGAAAGCAGATTCCAAAGAGGGGCTACAGGGTATCAAGAGCACCTTGTTTTATTTGCGACAGGCCACCTAACAGAACATTAGTTCATCAACCAGAAGGTGCAAGGCTCAATTAGAACAGCTGCCTTCTGTCATCTTCTCCAGGTGTTTGCCAATTTCCTTCCTACATATTACTGTACCACCACCCTGCTGTCCCTGCCTTTTCCTGTAAAATACTGCCAACACCTTTGACATCATTTGGATGTCTTTCCTGTGTAGGTTGGCATTCAGTACAATCTACTGGTGTGGATATACAAATGGACTGGTCCCTGCTATTCAACTGAATAAGGAAACTGTTCATTACAGCCGTGTATATGTACTGGAAACACCCGCATAAAAGATTAGATGCCCTTTCTAGGAAACTTCTGCAGAAGATCTCTCCAACTGTTTCCATGATTGGGTGAAGGGTGACAGGGCTCTCAGCACCTCTGTCTACCCAGACATAATTATTCCATCAGAGCTCTTTGTCCTGTAAAAACAGAATGTGAACTTTAAAAGCAAACATAAAACATATGTAGTTACAATGAGAAAAAAGGCCGTGTCTCAAATACTTCCATAATAAACTGCTACAATACCCTACAAATGAAACACACCGTCAATGTCTGGGTCCAGGCTGTAGAATAATCACAGAGGAACACAGTGACCAGCTTCAGAGGCCTCTTGGAATGCAACAGAAAACACATCCCCTTACCTTTGTTTCCAGTTGCTGGTCTTGCTTCATGTGCTCTTCAACCTGTTTATCCTCTGCATTAGCAATCATTTCTACAGTTTCTTTTCCAGATGGGAACAACGTGTTCACATCTGGACTAGTCCGGCAACAGCTATTGATCGTTTGCCCTTTGCAGGCAGCCGTAGTTTGCAACGAGTCCGTACTTGTGCTCTCTCTTTCTCCATTTACCAAGCTGCTTTCAGATGAAGCACCTTCACTCTGAATGGCCGTACTGTCACTACGAACTGGCAACCTGCTGTCCCTGCATTCCAAGCGGTTCTGTGCTACTACTCCATTGGTCGTGCAATTCCGTACATCCTGAGATTGATCTGTATTATTTCCCTGCTTTTGTAGTGGGTGTTGGGAGAGGAATTTTGGCTGAGGTGATGATGTCAACCCATGCTTTCCTTGAGATCTAACAACACTGATAACACAGGACTCTTTTTTCAGCTCACTAAGATTGGCTGGGCTAAGGAAAATAAGAGACAGAGAATGAAAGTGAATGCATGTTACATGAACAGATACTTGCATAGCATGTAAAGCACACTCTTGTTGTCCCTCTTGGCTACCAAAACCAATGACACCAGAGGAAACGTGGAACAAAAACGGTAGCCACAAAAGCACACAGTGAATGGTGAGCTTCTACTAACAAGAGCTACAATCTTACAAATGTGCAACCAGTTGGCACTAAGCCCAAGAGCTACAATCTTACAAATGTGCAACCGGTTGGCACTAAAATCAAAGTACTGTAACAGCGTATCTTGCTGTTTACTATGGCTCAAACTGGATGAGCAGTCCAGGGCTGCCCCAATCATGGATAACAAGGAAGGAAGAGCTCCATGTGGGCAAGGGAAGTGGAACCCTTCTTGCATTCACCATTTATCCCTTAGGCACTTCTATCATGCTGTGCAGTGTTTCGTTGAGCAGGCTCTTGTCTTCTGTAGAGCTTGTCTGGGGGAATAGGTATTGGATGGGTAACTGTGGGAAGTTAAATGACAAGCAGAGGGGGAGAATTTAATATTCCCCACCTGGATGTCTCTTTTGCTACAATAATTGGGTCCTCCAAACATTCTGCAGACAGTGGTTTAAAAAATACATCTGCCAGGAATAAGAAAAAATGCATCAATTCTCTTTTCCTTGCTGTCTCATAATGGGTCGACAAAAGCAGAGACTTTTGAAAATTTCACAATTTCAGTATTTTGCTCCTACTTTGTTTCATGTTACGTTGAATTTTGAACATATGCAGCATTTTAATGTTGCTAACTTCCTTGCTTTTTCGTGTACTTCAAGCTACTTTCTGTAACGTATGTTTGTTTAACATTACTTTTCCCTACTCTCTTTCTTTGGATTACCTTTATGAACTATTGCTACTTGTTTTATATCACTGCAGTATACTTTCATCTTTCAGTGTCAGAACTGGCCTCTGATTCAACCTGTCTATTTCTCTATAGTGAAGTGTGGTCATGCATGGCCAGCTACAGTTTTTCAGATTTATACGCGTAGCAAACTGTCAATGGTCCCACCAAGAAATATTTTCTTCCAGGTTTGCCCAGACTTCCTACTGTCATTTTCCTTTCTATGCTTGTTGTCTTGTTCCCTTTTTCTGTTCTCCATATCATTTCCCCACTGCTGGTTTGGAAACGCAGACAGGTACACTTACAATGCTCAGTTAGTGGCACTCCACATGTGAACTGTTTAAGTACCATGATGACATGACAGAATGACTTGCACAAAATATTTTCCATATTTCCCCACAATTTTGATACACACCTCAGGCCTGCGTCTGTTCTCAGTCACATGGGACCCACATCTGCTTTCTCCTAAGTGTATTTTAGTGCCTCAACATCTGACACACCCTGCCATCCTCTATCATCCCAAAATAAAACTACATATGATTTCCCTGATTTATCAATAAGACAATAGCATCCTCTGTAGAACGATACCTTGTCCCCTTGCTTATATTATTTACTTTCTAATTCTTGACACTGAAAACCTGCTTATTTTAGGCTACTATCTTGTGCTTCTTTTCTTCCACTGGAAAAGGAGCAGTCAAAGTATTCTGCATCCCAGTTCAGGGGGGAAGACTGCAGGAGCAGCTATGAAAGAACACAAGCTTTGCCTGTAGGTTCCTGGCTTAATTCCTGACATCACCAGTTAAAGGCTCTCAGGTAGCAGATGCTGGGAAAGACCTCTCTCTGCCTGAGAGAGACCCTGGACAGTCACGACCAATACTGAGGTAAATGAGCCTGCAAAGCCAGGAAAACGATATGACTCCTTCAAAAGTTCATTTTTTAAAATGGCAGGGTAGTAAAAAGGGAGGTAAATCAACATTTTGCTAAGGATGGAGCTAGCCTAGGGGGGAGAAAAGAAAGGAAGGGGTTCATGACACAATAAACCAATCAAAGCCACATGACCAGGAGGGATGAGCAGCAAACCCTTTAAAACATGCCCGCAATATCCCATTTTGAATAGAAGAATTTCCAGGCCAAGCCTTGGATTTCTTTTACAACAGGATGACAACTTGTAGCCTGTAGAATCATGGCAAAACTCAGCATGGCTTTCTGGTCTTTCAGCTGTTAACAGACTAGCATAAATACTCTTGTTGAACTGATTCATTTCTGTGTTGAATTCAGATGATGATGGACTGGAATGTAAATACTGAGTTCTGGTAAACCAGAAGCCTGCCTATATCCTTTACCAGCACATTCTTTTAACAGCTTCCCTTTCTTGTATCTCTCAGCACACGAGAACCAACACACACAAGAACTGCCTATACTAAGGCTATAAAAGAGGAACACAGAGCATTTCCTCATTCATTATCAGTTATGCCGCATTTGTAGTGGAACCTTTGAAGAAAAACACAAAACATGTTTACCTGCCTCCTTCAAAATGACTGATGAGATCAGACACTTTACTAGTTTTCTCTTTTGATACACAAGAAGAGGTAGATGTAACTTCCTCCATTCTTTGCTTCGCAGTATATAAAACTTTATGTCTAGGGGTTTGGTGGGGAATGGATGACTGTGAATTTTGCAGATGTAATGGCTTTGGAGGCACTGTAAAAAAAAAAAAAAGGAACACACACTAAACTATAAACATTGGTAAGCATTTCACAAGTTGTTCAAAACCATTACTCCCCCAAAGCTCCATGGGATCATTCAAGCCCTCTCTAAGACTGTCATTTTTCTTTTTTGACCTTCAGCTTCACTGGCCTGTATCTTCTCTATATTTTAGGACAGAAGAAGAAGCCATACTATCCCGCCTACAAAACTGCAACAAAACAAGCAGTAGTAAGAAGCAAAAGAATACCAGGCACCCTGTAAGATGCTGTCCTGGGCCTTTCTACCGCTCAAAGAGTGGGGAATGAGAGGAAAGACTTGGCAAGCCAAAAAAAGAAAAGGTACAAAACACCTGTCAGCCCTATACACTGAACTCTAAGCAGACAGCTGTGAATCCAGACAACTTGGTAATTTTTGCATTAAAACTACATTAGCACACACATAGGTACACAAACTATTTGGAATCAACACTCAAGCAACTCAAGTCAGTCCAGAAAGCAGGGCTTAAGACACAGGGGGTGCGTTCAGACGGGCCATTTACAACAGTAGAGGTACCGGTTGGAATCGGTGTACTTACCGGCGTTCACACGTAGAACATCTGCCTTCCATCCCTAACCGTTGCAAAGAGCTTTAAACTGGTGTATTCTGCTACTAGGTCCCCAAGTGGTGGTATCCTGAGTGCACCGGTTGTAACCGCTTTACCCCCCCCCCCCCCCCCCCTGCCTCCCCCCCCCCCCCTCTCAGC